GTCAGAATGTAGTTATTTTAGTTAGAATTTGGGCACTGGAGTTAATGCTCCCTCTCTTCTTAAGATTTCATGGGATTGATCAGAGGTAGTGAGGGGCTCAGACTTATTTCTCACCTTAAAAACATCTCCAGCCATATTGCTCTGCCTCTTACCCCTGCATCGTCTTGCCCAGTGTCATGCTAGGAGTTGAGTACTGGCTTAAAGGAAAGAGCACCCAGTACTGAATTGCCAGCACAACTTTCTGCAACAGGAAGGACTGTCATCTATGAAGTGACCACGATACTTCCCAAAAACTGGGGTGCTTGTAGAAGCAGCTACTGAAAAAGGTTGTGGGGAAATTAGGAGAGAATTTTGTTTGACCTAAAGATAAAACTGGGAGACGGGCAGCCTAAACAGCTGGGGCTGGCCCTGGTGAATTTCTGTTCTTATAGGTTTCAGGGTAGCAGCCGTGTTAGTCTGTATCCTCAAAAAGAACAGGAGTACTTGTGGCACCTTAGTCTGTTAGTCTCTAAGGTGCCACAAGTACTCCTGTTCTTTCTGTTCTTATAGCATACATGAGCCATCCCTTTAAATAAATAAATAAAACTTGGTTGGTTATTACCTCACTTTGCCATTCACCCTTTCTGTTAAGTAAAAATTTACTTTATCTCCATTCTATGTTCTTGTCCTTTAACTCTAAATTTTCCTTTCTTCTGTGGCCTATTTTTCTCTTTTCAGTCTATTTTCTCCCCTTGATGTCCTTTTCTTGTCTGTCATCTTCTATGTTGTGCGCTCGTCTTCCTTCCCCCCAAGTTTCTAGTCTCTTACCTCACCCTCTTCTATTCCTTTCTTATCTTGTATTCTCAATTCCCGATTTCTCTATTACTATCCCCAGTTTCATCTTGGGTCTCCCCCCGGCCCCAACTTTCATCCACTTCTTCCCCAGTCACAAACCACACATGCTGTTCTATTGCATGCTCCTTCATTCTTTCTCTCTACAGTGTTCTTTTCATAATCAAGCAAGTACACAAACAGAGGCAGAATCCACCTCGCATGCAGGCTCTTCACAACTTCAGTACAAGTGGGACTTGTTATACAAGCTTCCCCAACTAAAAAAAGCCACATGCATACCTACCGCAAATCTCCCCTCCCAAACTCAGGCAGCCTTTTGTCCTCCCAGATGCTTTCTGCCTCTTTCAACCCGTTCTGGTGGAGGCTAGGAGTGATCCAAAGCTGTAATGCATTTAGCCCCCTGAGGGAGGGGTATGTTATGTTGTGTTCAGCAGCAGTCTTCCACAACCAATTACGGATAAATATTTGTTTCTAATCTGGTAGTGTCAAGGAGCATCAATAAGGGTCAGGTCCTTGTTATGCCTGGTGCTGTTCAAATACAAAGGAGTACAGTCCCTGCCCCAGAGAGGTTTATGCTCTAAGAAAAAAATGTGGATTGACGTTCATTGGGCTCAGTGTGAGATTGACAAAGATTTGTCTGAGAAATCCTTTAATCTTTTCACTCTGCCTCAGTACCCCTTAATTTTTTTTAATCAGTAAAATGTATAAATCCTATTAATCTTTCTTCAGGAGGTGAGCAGCCATTAATGAAAAACCTCTTATGTGTTTTCCTTTTTATTCTATGTATATATTGGGCTGAGCTGTAAACAGTTCAGTTATAAGATTTTAATTATTTGTCCTAAATATCTTTTTGTCACAGAAACACAAATTCAAGCTCTAATAAAAGATAAAACAGTTGCTTAAAGCTATCTAGTCCTGTCTTGCCTTTTAAAATACTCTAAACATAGAATTTTTTAAAAATGTTGAACATCAGGAGCTGTGTAATTAGATACTTTGCTTACTGTATTTTTAACATATATAATAAAAGATGTTCAAGTAGTCAGTTACAGTAAGTGGGTAACTTAGTTATAGGGCTGTAATTCCACTGACAGTTTTCCAGAACCTAATCCTGGAGACTGAAGCATGAGTGGCTAATATATTGACTAGAGCCCCAGAAGAAAATTAAGATAATTCAGATAATTTGTCTTCTCTTTCTCCAACAGCTTCCCCATTCTGCAGCTTGAATATAATTACTTTACTCATAATTCATAGGTGACATATGTCTGAATTACAAGGTTTTTGTATGTGGGTTGCAGATTTTGGTGCTGCATAATATAATGACACTCTAAACTCTGATATTGAAAGTCAATGTTCATAAAGCTCTTCAGTAATTTTTATTAGTGTGCATATAAAAGTAAATTTTTAGGTAGTGTTTTAAGGCAGTATTAATATTTTATTTTTGAAGGTTTAATAGTATAGAAACATAAGAATTGCCATACTGGATCAGACCAGAGTTCTGGTCCAGTATCCTGTTTCATAGTGGCCCGTATGAGGTGTTTCAGAGTAAGGTACAAGAAAGCCCACAGTGGACAACTACAGAATAACCTGTCTTTGGGAGAAGTTTGTGCCTAACCCCCATCAGTTAGTGGTGAGCTTATGCTTGTAGGTCTGATCATTTATATCCCTTCTCATAAGAAGAAAAAATTGTTTGTGACAAGACTAAAAGCAAGTGTACAGGTTCTCAGTTCTAATACAAGTTCTAAACATGAAGTGGTAGCTTCTAAAATAAATGTTTACACTACAGTTTTCTTTTTATGTAATGTTTCTAAAAATCTTATTTGTGCAAAGTGATCTAGTTAAATAATTTATCATGCAAAGGAATAAGTTAATGGTTACTATTGAAGACTGACTTGGGGATAGAAGAAGGCCTGTGTCCACCTAGGCCCATCTGTCTAGTATTGGTAACGTCATTTTTCCCTCAATTCTTGTAACTTTCTTTATGCATAGAATAACTAAAGCAGGCAGAACATAAAATAATATTTACTTAAAGTAGTTTTGTCTTGGACTACATTTCTCAATATATTAATAGAAATAAGCTTTGTGCCCCAAATCATTAGTCTAAATGACATCAAATGGGTAACAGCTGAAAGTTGTTGCCATCTGAAGACTCTTTATTGCCTATATGAAATGAGTTTGTGGGCTCAGTCAAGTTCTCACTTGCCAGGAGACCACATATCAAATGTGGTGGTTATTTTGTAACTGGTTGTCATTTTTTTTGCAGTGTTAGGTGCAGAGGCAGATGATTGACTGAATGGGCAAGGAAAGGAGACGAGAAATGGGGTTAAAACAATTTGGGACACTTGCACTACTGCTGTCTATGCTATGCCTGTTTTATAGGCAAATAAAGGGTTTAGTTGACAAGTCACACAGCCCACTAAAGACTGCATGTCAGTTAGAGTGAGTAATACATGGCTGTGAGTATAGTAACCCAAAGGAGACACTATGTATTCAAAAAGTTTCTTAGCTATTGTACTCAAACATAATTGAGTTGTTGATTCTTGCCTGTGCGCATACACTTCAGTACATTCTGCAAATGTGTATACATCTAAACAGCAGTTGCATTTCATTTTCCTCCTCCTTCTAATACAAACTTCCATTTAATTATAAAATCTTTGCTGATAAAGTTGGTAGATAACACTAAGATTAGTAGAATACTAAACAACAAAAGGGGCAGGTTTCTGTTACAAAGTGACGTGAATAGTCTGGTTAAATGATCACAATGTGTTTTTAATACAGGTAAATGCAAGTAATATATCTGGGAACATAGAATGCTGGCTATACCTCTGTCTTGGAAAGCAGTGACTCATAGAAGGTTTTAGGGATGATTGTAGATCACTCTCCGCATGAGCACTCAGTGCAATGCTGCAGCAAAAAAGGGCCAATGTGATCTCTGGATGTATAAAAAGGGAATATCAAGTAGAAATAAGGAAGTGGTCATGCTTCTGTACACAACATAGGTAAGACTGCTACTAGAAAACTGTGTACTGTTCTGGTGTCCACACTTCCAGAAAATGATATGGAAATAGTGGAAAGAGTTAGGAGGGCTACAAAAATAATCCCAGGACTGGTAAACAAGCCTTGCAACCCAGAACTGAAGGAGCTCAGTTTGAGAGGTAACATGATCACTGTGCACAGGTATATACCCATGGAAAAGATATCTGATAGTAAGGGGATTTTCAGTCTTGCAAACAAAGGCATAACAAGATCCAGTGGCTGAATGTTGAAGTTGGACAACTTCATCCTTGAAATAAGATGCAACTTCCTGGCTCTGAGGGTAATTAAGCATTGGAACACTGTATCGGGGGAGATAGTGGATTCACCCTCACTTGGGATCATTAAAATTACATTAGAAATCTTTTTCTAAAAAATATACTTTAATCCAGTTCTGGGAGGAATTCTGTGTTCTGTAGGTGGTCAGGAGTCAGGCTTTGCAGTCTGTGACTCCCCCTGTTCATTCCTTCCCTTAATGTGCCATAGAGAGAACAAGAAGCTCTGCATTGCCCTGTGCATACTCATAATACTTGCAGCCTGCACTAAGACATTGACTGTAATCAAATCTCATGCTTCAGGGTTTCAGCTGGTTGCTTTCAGGGATCAAGAAGGAATTTTCCTATCCAATACACAATTTGCCAGTTGTATTCTGTCCACCACCCCCATCCCTATCCTTAGGGCATTGGTGGCACCTCAAGTTTCTCCTGTCTTCTGCCTGTGGCGCACCTCAGGTTAGCTTCCTGAGGACTGAAATGGTTTGATCTGAAGTTTTTTGGGTTCAATATATGGGTTAATGGGTGAAATTTAATCTTCTGAGATACACAGGAGGTCAGACTAGATGATCAAGTGGTGTCCGTTCTTTGTGGTTCATTCCTACCCTAAACTCTTTGAAACTATGAAATTGTGACAGTACAGCAAATGCCTTCAAATGATTCAGTTTTGGCAAGGCCATTTAAATCCCTGTGTTTCTTTCTGTCTTTGTGAGGATTCTTGAGAACATTTTGAACATAAAGGATTTTACAATGCAGTGTTTATAATCTTGGATTCTGTATATGGGGAGAAGGGAAGGAGCTATTTAAAATTTGCAAGTTTGCCACCCAATCCTTTGAATAAATAAAACAGCACATTCTTCTTTGTAGGTACAAGAGGACTCAAGTTTCACTAGAGCCATAACTAGAATGGACAGTTACTTTAAAGCAGCAGTCTGTGACTTGGACAAAGTACTTGATGAATTTGAGCAAAATACAGGTTAGATGGATCTTTGTGCTACTTTTTATTGTTGTTGTTGTTGTTGTTTGGGGAAAACAAACTTAAATGGTTAAGACCAAGAGGAAGTGAAAAAAATTTGGTCTGTTCTTCTTAAGTGGTGTTTTTTGTTTGAAGAAAGCTTTTGCGAGGTGGGAGTGCCGTGTGAAGAACCAGTTTTATAAACTTTGCTTTTGATCCTTTTTGTTTTTAAATAGATGAACTTGACTGCTACAGAACAGCTGCAAACCAGTGTGATTCAATACAGCATTCAGTCTCTTCAGAATTGGATTACTTACAACCTGTATTCCTGGTACCAAAAGTGCAAGAATATGTTAGCAGTTGTAGTATGTCAGAAGAATTCTCTCTAGCCAGTCAGGCTACAACAAATACAGCAAAGTTTGAACTGAATTCCTCAGCACAAAATGAGAAAAATGTTACTGGACTCGATCTTCTGTCTACTGTGGATGGTGGTGCCTCAAATGAAATTCAGCCTTTGAGCCTGGGGAGGTGTAGTATACCTGTATGTGATCTCATCAGTGACACAGGTAATTTGATCCATTCAACGAGTAGTAATGAAGATATTCAGAAGCTGCAGCCAGATGACTTCCAATGCAATGAGAACTCTTTGGTTGGGTTTGATTTATCTTTAGTACCAGCTACAGTTTGTAGTTTGTCAGTAGCTTTCGGTGGTGTTTCAGGCACAGAACAACAGAATGGTGGGGACACAACACTACAAGATGAGGGACATGTTGCAACAAAAGAGTTGAGCCAGTTGGATTTTAAAACACACAATCATGGTAAAGCAAAGCTCTCAGATTCATGTGATAATCAAATTAGGACAGAAACTTTAAAGGATAATCAGGTGTTCGATCAGCTGGAACAAATTACAGGCCTTAACTCTACATCTGCCTTTGTAACATCACAGACCCCAAATGCACTCAGTCCCAAAGATGACACAACCCTTGAAAAGCTGCGTTGTGAATCATTAAAAGATGCAAGTCTGTGCTGTGTGATAAGTCAAGAGTCACCTGAAGAGAGTGTTAATGAAAATGTAGATTCAAAAGATGAAGGTAATGGGGAATCCTTGCCTTCTGATCTGCCAAAGAGTTCTGAATTACACAAAAGCAGTTTAAAATTAGTTGGAAAATGTGTTCTACCAGATTCTTCATCTCAAATAGAGGATAGGGTAGTATTAGATAAGATGAAGAGTGCAGAAGAAAACTTGTGCAGTCCAGAACTTAATACCAATGAAATATTGCACAGTGTTTCAACTTCACATGTAACTGATGAAGATATCCAAACCTCATTGTCATGTCTTCCACTTGCTGTATCCATATGTGGTTCATTAGTTGTAACAGAAGACAAAAGTGGCCACATACCTCAGAATGAAAAGGCAGATGTCATCAGTGATACTGTGACTATGCATGCAGGAAAATCTAAGCATGGATTCTCCAATATGGAATCCTCTGGAAAGAGGGAACCTTCTGAACAGGAAAGATATCTAAACCAAATCAACCAATGCTTTGTAGAAGAAGCTATAACTATAGCTGGAAAGAAGAGGGAATCTGACAACAAAATTAATAAAGGTGATTCTCCCCAAATCCACACTGCTGGCCCTGTTGGAGAATCTAAAATTGAACTGTGCAGTGATGGTATTCAGCCAGTTGACAGTCATGATCAAAGTGTTACTTGTCCAGTTTTAGCTGACTTAACTATTGAGGAAGACTTAATTAAAAGTGATTCACTGATTAGTGATGCTGAGCTTGATGCCTTCTTATCTGGACAGTGTCTTCAGCCCAATAATTCAAAGCCCTTTGAAGAAGGTATGGATGATCTGCTGGAGTCTGATGCAAATCAAGCAAACCTGGATTTCAAAAAGGTCAATGATTCACAAACAAAAGCAAAACTGGAGGAGATTGGAGAGATTTCCAGTATTAAAAGTACTTGTAGAATAGCTGATATTGAATATAAATTGGAGTCTCCCCCAGAAAAAAGTACGTATCCTATTCAACAAGAGGCCTCTAACCATATAACTGAGACTCCTATTGAAGTACCTGTCCCTACTCTTAGCCATCAGAACGTAAATATTGGAGGTGCTAGGCCTAAACAGTTGCTTAATCTTCCTCAAAGAACTGCAATTGAGAGAGAGCTCAGCAAGCCAAATATGCCTACGACTGAATTCCAGGAAGTGAATTCCATACCCCCAAAGGCCCCTCTCTCAGAAACCAAAACTAGTACTGACATAAGCTCCAAATGTAATCAGTCTGATACAGAAAACTCCTTGGAAGCAGGCGGAAGTTGTGTGCCTGCAAGCATAGAACCTGTTAAAACACCTCTAGTTCTGGGACAAAAACAGCCACCCTGGGTCCCCGATTCAGAGGCACCCAACTGCATGAACTGCCAAGTCAAGTTCACATTTACAAAAAGAAGACACCACTGTCGTGCATGTGGGAAAGTAAGTTATGAAAAATGCTTGGCATTAAATTGCTTTTGCCCATGTATTGTGTTACAGCAGGGGTTTTCAACCTGTGGTCCATGGGGGTCTGCAAACTGTTTTAAGATTTCCAAAGGGGTCTGCATCCCCATTCAAAAATTTTAGGGGTCCTCAAATGAAAAATATGATGCCATAACACAATGGTTTTCAATCTAATAAAACCACTCTGACTTAGTTTTTCCTTCCTTTGCCTGATATTTAGTGCTACTTTTTTAGGCTCTATCAACTTTTCATTAGGAAACTTTTGAATTAAATTAACTATATATTTTTATAGTTACAGATGACTCAGTGATTGTCAAATACTAAGTATTAAGCAAAGATATAAGATTTTACTGTGAAAATACAGTTGGGAAAAATCTCGCCCTATGACCTATTATTGAGCAACTTAAGCTGATTACTAAGGAGTTTTTTCTTTGGATATCCAAAGTGTTTCTTCTACCTTCTAAATGATGGAATAATAAATCTTAGTATTTCAAATCTTAATGAAATCTGAGAAAGTACAGGGAATGTGGGGAAGACCACTCATAATTACTCTTGATTGTGGTAATCTGTAAAGAGGTCGGTATAATGAATAAGATTTGCTATTTTCAGTTGCTATTTATTTTCCACTGTATGTCAATGATGTGCTATGGAACTAATATTACACACAATCACTAAGTTAAAAGAATATTAAGACTGCAAAGTTAAGCACTGCAAAGTTAAGCAATGCTAGAATTAAGGATATCATCATAACATGTAGGAGCCGTAGTCTTGAATGAGGATCCCACTGTGCTAGGGGCTGTATAAACACAGAACAAAAGATCCCTGCCCCAAAGAGCTTAGTCTAAGCCTGTACAGCATTAATTTGAGCCTTAGGGCATATACATTACAATAGTCTTAGATTTTAATTATATGATCACATACTATTTTTTACTAAGGACCCCTGCCTCATTCAATGCAGAAGATGAATAGTGCTTAATGAGCAGCAAGCTGCTATTTAATATTTTATATTATCCTGATTCAGTGTGTGGCCCCATACCTTATTTACTGCACATCATTTAGAGCCTGCTCCGAATACATAATTCATTTCCTCATTTTCTGTGGCACTCCATCACTATCTGAGTGCTTCACAAATAATAATACATTTTATTTTCACCTCACTCCTGTAAGGTGACAGTATTATCCCTGTTTTACATACAGGAAGCTCTGGCACAGAGATTAAGGTCAACAGTGTACACTAATTTTGGGTGCCCAATTTGAGATGCCTAGGGCTTGATTTTTTTCAAAGCACGTAACATATTTTTACCATTTCACATGTTCAAAGCACATCTCCCATAGATTCTAGTTCGAGCTGAGTGTTTAGCACTTCTGCATATCATTTCACAGATGGTCACTATCTAAGCACATGGGGTAAATTTGATTTAAACAAGTTGTCCAGAATCACATGGGAACTCTGTGGCAGAGGCAGAGAGAGAATCCGGTTCTCCAGAGGATCATTCAACTGTCTTAACCTACTGTCCCCAGCCTTATTCACTACACGCCTTCTAAATTCTGCAGCAAATAAGGCAGTGGTATTATACACATTTCCTTCATTACGCAACCCTGTTTCATCCTCAGAGCAGTTCTAACATGTGCTGTGACTGAGGCAGGAGTCCTGTTTAGAAATAAATAAATGAATGTGATTATGTAATGGCAATTGTATCATAATGCATACTCCTAGGGAGACCATGAGTTTATGGGCAATATTAATTTTGACATTGCCTAACTTTTGAGTACTTGACTTTACAAACTTAATTTTTTCACATCTTTTTATCTATAATTTTGTTTGTAGCTTTTTTGAAAGGAAATCTGAAAAAAAAAAAAGAAAAAAGTTATTTCATAGATTTATATTGATACCACAGGGTGAGTAACAGGGTTGGACCCTTTAGATTCACAGCACAGACATCTGCCACTTGGGCTCATGGTAACTGTTCACTGACAGCAGTAGGTTGTCATCTGGTATGTGAACCAGACACTAAAAGAGGATGAACACTCATTTTGGTGGTAGGTTTTACAGCTGTTTTGCTGATGACAGAAATAAGTTGAGATTTGGGAAGGTTGGTTCCATTTGAAGTTCTGGAGAACTGTGTTTTCTAGTGGTCACAGATCCTCCTGCCCCTGTTCTTTCCCCCAAGCCTGACCCATTCTGTGTCTGTCCCTTCCATCCCACTCATGTCTCAGTAGTTCTCTCCCCCCCCGCCCCCAATACCTCATACCATTCTCCTTGCCTAGCTAGTTTGTCTTTTTTCCTTAGTGCTCCCCCATCAGAGTCCCATCCCAGTCTTCTTGCCCAGCCAATCCCAGTCTTTCTCCTTCCCCATAGCTAGTTATATGAATCTACTCCCCATCTGTGCTTGTCTCTTGTCTCTTCTGCGTTGAAGTCAGCTGTTTCTTCATCCATATTTCCTGAGAGCACAGGAGAAATGGTCCTTTGGTAGTTGATGTTCCAGGCTAAAGTCCTGCCTAGCTCTTGGAGCGTGGGCTAGAGCATGTCCAGTACAGATGGCATTTTCAGAAAACTTAGCTTCCAAACTCTTAACAAGTCTCTACTGAGCATGTGAAAACTGAGACCCTGAGGTGCTCCTGTATATTCTCAGATGTGGGATATATAGTCCCTGATGTTGAGCTGCAAAAGCACCCTGAAAAGCCATATCCGTTGGCCCCTTCTGTGGTATATAAGATCTTGTGTGAGAGTGACGTCATAGCCCTTTTTATAAGGGTATAGACTCCCCCACAATGTACGCAGTTGCTTCACTGTTACTGTAGAAAATGAATGGAACCTGCTTCTATCCAGTCAAGCTAGGTCTTAGTCTAATATACCAATTTCTTGTAATTAGGAGTGGCGTAGAAAAACTCAGTGTACATAGCCTGACTTTTATCCCCGGAGCCTTCAGAGCCTTTATGGCCCAGAGCCTTGTAAGAGCTATAAGAAGTGATGTAGGAAGCACCCACCTTGGTGCCCACTTCTGACACCATTGCCCTTGCCCCAATGCCATACTTTTCCTCCAGCACTGATACCTCTGTCTTGGCACAGTAAGTGCATGCAAATGCCTGTTGGGGTTAAAGGAAGGAGACAAAGAATCTCATTACAAGAGGGTAAAAGCAGAAGAGAACAAGTGCTATTCTTTGTATTTCCTGACATATGAAGGCCTTGGAAACTCTCATATGCACAGCTGTAATCTCTTTAAGTTCCTCTGGAGCCAGTGTATTGTCCTCAACTAACTTGGACCCTTCATTGATCTGGATGCTGGTAACCCCTTCGATCTCTGTAGACCTGAGTGGGAGTCCACCATTGAGACTACTAGACCCTCTCCCCGCTGCCTATCATGTACTTTTCTGCGGCCTGTCTCTGTTCCTGTACCAAATTCTCTGGTCTCAATCTGGAACCATCTCAGAGACTTCCAACCCTTTTGGAAATGAACCTTTAAGGTCCCCTGTCTTGACCTTGATACTCTGCACATTTGCCCTTGCCTCAGATCCAGACATCATGGAAGCATCTCATGCAGGGCCCTCTTGAATTCTATATGTAGGGCCACATGAGGGACTTTGGCAACATGACCAGCTCTGGTACTGACTTGTGCGCTGGCACCTATACCTCTTGTGGCACCATTCCTCCTTTGGCATTGATCCTCTCTCAGCTGCCTATTCACCTGGCACTGATTCACCCTTCCTTGCTGACACCAATACTAACCCTGGACCCCTCACAACTGCGGGAGGAGCTGCCTATATCTGAGGAATTGGATGAGACACCTTTGGTGAAACATATAGATTGGTGCTTCATCCATTTCCCCTCCTGATAAATGAACAGTTTCAGGAACTCGGGGAGGTAGGCAAATGCTCTCAAGTTGCAAACAGTTTCACCAGAGACATCTGATCCCCTGTTTGACATATTGCAGATGCAGAGCAGGGAGAAGCTTGCTCTGCCTATCAGCTCTGGCCTTCTCAGTCCAGCCAAGGATATCTGGTTCTCTTCTTTCTTATCTCCACCTGTATAAAACAGAAGACAGGATGTGTCTCAGACTAGCTGAAGGACATACATTTTTACTACAACACTTTTCATAATTCAAGACTCCCTGACAGATGCCAGGGAAAAACTGGTACAAACCAAGCAGTTCCGTAGACTAGTGGGCTTGATTCCTCATCGACCTATGCCATGACCTTTGCTCATCTGAACATGGGTGGTAGGTTATTACACACTAAATGTACAGATGAAATTGACCATCCCTTCTCCAATGCTCCAACAGTTTAATTGTGTGGAAAACAGACAAAATCTTCAGGGGAGACCCTTTGCTTTTCCTTTTCCTGCCATCACAATCACCTTGGATGCTTCCAATCTGGGATGGGTTGTGTATCAAAATACATGATCTAAGGAACACCTGGAGTCCAGACACCATATCAGAGTAATAGAGCTCAGGGTAGTGTAATGGGCTATTAAAGCCTTTTGTCCATTCCTGCAGCTGTGTGTAGTACAGGTGCTTGACAACACATGGTCATGTGTTAAATCAACAAGCAGAGAGGAGTACATTCTCAGCTCCTATCTGCAGAGGCAAGAAAACCGTAAATGTAGCATATCCAGAACCAAATCTGCCTGTAGTAGTTCTTGCTGGGAAAGTGAATGTGAAGGCAGACTTGCTCAGCAAGAGGATTCAGGATCAACCATCCACACAAGAAGCTCTTGAAACCAGTGGTGGCTATTGCAGTATTTTGTGAATGGGGTCACTCAATAATAGATCTCTCTGAGTTGGGACAGAGCACCAAAGTGTACTGCACAGGAGCACACAGACAAAAGCTCTTTCTCAGATGCATTTCTGCTGGACTAGAGCCAACATCTTCTATATGCTTTCTGTTCCATTCCCCTGATGCCCAGGGTCATAAGGAAGATCAGGCTCGATTGAGCCAACTTTGTGACCTTGTCAGTACTGGTATCCAGGTCTTCTGCAGGTGGCCAGAGAATATGCATGCTTGCTGCCTGCTCTCAATATTAAGGAGAGGGATTCTGCCACTCAGCCTAGATACACTTCCCCTAGCAGTATGGAGGATAATCTGCTGCATAATGAAGTTCCTGTTCTTTGAAGGTTCAGACCATCTTCTTACAATCCAGGAGGACTCCAGTCTAACATAAGACCAAAAAAAAATGCAAGTGGGTTTACCATCTGGGCCACTGGATAAAAGGTTTGCTCAGTCTTAGGCTGGGAACACTGCTGTCTTACCGCGTCTTCTGCACCTTTAAGTCTTGGGGGTTATCCTTAACTTCTCTAAAGTTCCATATGGCAGTAATATCTGCTCAGAAGTTACATTAAGGTCAAACCCATCTTTTCTCATCCTACACTTTCTAGGTTTCTCATGGTCATTGTAAATGCATTTTTCCCCATTTAAGGAGTGGCCACCTTCATGAGACCTAAAATCTTTCCTTCAAAGGCTTATAATTTGGCCAAATTTAGGTGTATTTTCATGGGAACAGCAAAAAGTGCATCTTCAACATAAAGGCAGTCCTTCCTAAACTTCAAATTCCTGCTCCAAAGCATGAGGATCTAGAGCTTCTCAATGAGAAACGGTTATGGAAATGTATTTATGAGAGAGGGCAAAAATTTCCACCCCAGCCTCATTTTGAGAGATGGCTACACCATTTTTGCTGAAATTTAAAAATTTCAGCATGAGGCAGACACCCAGTATGGAAAATTTCAGCTTAAATGGTTAGTTTGGTAATTATACAAGTAAGTAAAAATTGCCTGACACGTGTCATTATAAGACTGTCTTAACTATAGGTGGCACTACCATCTCCACGTAAAATGTTTAAACTAGATTTTGTTCTGACCCAGGTGTTCTGTGGTGTCTGTTGCAATCGGAAGTGTAAGCTGCAGTACACTGAAAAGGAAGCAAGAGTCTGTATTGGCTGTTACAAATCTATTAATAAAGGTAAAAAGTTGTGACCATGGTTTTATTTACTTGTAATTATTACTTTCATCAAAGGAGAAAAGTTAAGCAAAATTGTTATTTTAGGACTGAAGGATGAATCTGTGTACCCAGGAGGAAGCGTTTCCTCCTGGGTACACAGATTTAAGACTGTGATTGAAATGTTGATAAAATTTGCCTGTCTAGTAGATGTCAGTGACTTCAATCTTCCATCTTCATTCTCTGCCACAGCCACAGTAATTATGCATATACTTGATGGAAAAGCATAGGATTTCTAATGCAGCTAGAGTGCTGCTGTTTGGTTGGGTGGTGGGGAGTCTAAATTGCAAAAATACTGCATGTAATTCCTTTCCCAAGGCTGTGTGTTGAGGCAAGCAACATTTTCAACCTCTGTTTAGCTGAAGAAGTCTTCATCAGATTGTTCCCAAGACCATGTCCCCTAGTCCACTCTGTTATGCCTCCACTTGTGTTATAAATGTTTGTCTAAATGGACTAGGCAAGATTGTGCAGTCCTTTTGAGGAAGGTTAAATTGTGCGAAGATGTGACATTATTAGTATTGGGAACAAGAGTGACAAACTGAAGCCCTAATTTCTTGTATTGAAACATTTAACAAAGATAAAAGAGGAGTGCATTCCTGTTTTATTTAACATGGTTTTTTAATCATGAATCAAATTAATTTCTTCCTTTTTGATTATCCCAGTTAAAGCTTGATTTTACTTTTAATATTCTCCTGCTTGGTATTGAAACTCCACCATAGACCCTTCTTTATCTTTCCCAATATGGAGAATATGGGATTTGTCAGTACTTCACAAACTTTTTCACAACTGAGCATGAAATGAAGCTAGTGTGATTTGTGATTAATATACAGAAGAACATAGTATCACTACTTAAGTTGGGAAATCCTTCGTCTATTTTTTTACAGTCTCTGTGAATATCCTTCTCCGTTTGAGTACTGTTGTAAATGATAGGTTTCAGGGGGTAGTCGTGTTAGTCTGCATCAGTAAAAACCATGAGGAGTTCTTGTGGCACCTTAGAGACTAACAAATTTATTTGGGCATAAGCTTTCGAGGGCTATAGCCCACTTCATGAGATGCATGGAGTGAAAAATACAGTAGGCAGGTATAAATATACAGCACATGAAAAGATGGGAGTTGCCTTACCAAGTAGGGGGTCAGTGCTAACGAAGCCAATTCAATCAGGGTGGATGTGGCCCATTCCCAACAGTTGACAAGGAGTGAATATCAGCAGAAGGAAAATTATTTTTTGTAGTGCTAACTTTTTGTTGTGCCCACGAAAGCTTATGCCCAAATAAATGTATTAGTCTCTAAGGTGCCACAAGGATTCCTCGTTGTTTTTGTTGTAAATGAAGCATGTGTGGTTGCAGGAATTACATGGTTTGATGTATGGTCACTGCTGAAGCAAAAGGCTGTACAATGAGTGTCCATTTCTATGTTTAGAAGAAAAACAGCAGACAGGAATATTTAATTTAAAATTTGAGGTAGCTGTAAACATTTAATAAATGGCATGATCTTAAACACTAAGTGCATTTTTTCCTTTTAGCACAGGCATTTGAAAGGATGATGAGTCCAACTGGTCCTATCCCCAATTCCAGTATCTCCTCTGAATGTTGTTCTACTGTTCCACCTTTGCAGGAAGCTCAGACAGTTGGCACACCTAATTCTCCTTCATCTTCTGTTTTGTTACCTATCTCTGTACTTAAACAACCAGGTGCTGATGGTAAGTTAAATAATTTTGAGTTGCAATCTGTTATCTAAACTTTCTAAGCTATTCAGCATATACTCTTTCAACACATACATAGAATAGATGCCTTTGCAGAATGGCTAGATTTCTTTAATTGATCAGTGTAGCCATTCAGAAAAGGCTATTAGGGTTAAGATACTGGACTGGGATTCAGAGAAACCTGCATTCAATTCTGAGTTCTGCCATGGACTCAGGCTCCCTGTGTGAGCTTGGGCGAGTCACTCAATCTTTGTCTTAGTTCTTCATCTGTAAAATAGCTAAAGGAAGTATTACCCCTATCTTGTCTAGTTTGGTTGTAAGTTTTTCAGGGTAGGGTCTCTTACTATGTCCAATGTATAGCACAAGGGACTGTGATCTCACATGGGGTCTCTAGGTACTACAGTAATATAAATAATACTGAAACAAAGCAAGTAGTTGGGTGACAAAACATTCTCTGGCTAGAAGTGATAATGGATAATGCACATCTTCATCTCATATATGTCAACTACACTTCTGAATTTTGGCTGTTTACTACAAAAATGTCACTGATAAAAGATTAGATGTACTTAGAGTATCTTTAAAACAAAAAGTGGTAGGTTATATGAATTGTTTTGTTGATAAACTGTTGTCTTGTATCCATGATATGTTGCCATAGTTCTACTACTCCAGAGGTAATTGATTAAGTAAATAGCAGCCTGTTTTAACTAAATAGGAATTGATGCATTAACTATAGCTTGGTTACTTCTGCTGCTGGTGTGGGAATATCTTTGCCCACAGTTCTGCTTGACTGATTGGAGAGAATACCAGTTTTGTGTGTAGGGTGACTGCTTAGTTCCAGTAACTTTTACTACTTTTAAATCCGAAAATTCCCACGTTTTGGAGAAATATATGTAGAAAGATGCATCACTTGCACTACAAAAATCTCTGAACTATAATTGTGGTTCATACTAAATCCAACATGCTTAATGTAAAATCTTAATTTGGAAAAAAGCCTGAAATTTTATACAGACCCGTTTGCTGCTGGAAAACTGTGGTAATACCAAATTAGTGTTCTTTTTTTAACCCATTTTAGGGCTGTGCGCCAGAGAACAGAGGAGAGTCTGGTTTGCAGATGGTATTTTGCCTAATGGTGAAGTCGCAGACACAACAAAACTATCTTCTGGAGTCAAGAGGTCTTCGCAAGAGCTGAGTCCAGTAAGCCCTGACTTACCAGAGGTGCATATGGTATATTCTCAAAAGTATACACTGATCCATGATTTTCATAAATAAAAAGTTGATGGTCTTTAAACAGCTTTGTTTGCCCATTTAAGATGACACCCTCATAACTGCAGTGTTATGTGGCTTTGACTCCTCTCTGGCCAGTTGGGTTGCATCAATTTTAATCAACTTTTTAGTTTGTACTTCAGTTATTTTCTAAAGAAAGATACATTTTCACTGGTTGATAACACCATTAAAACATGTTGAATTACAACTAAATAGAACCTTTACACTAGATTTGATACATCTTTTTTTACTACCTTGGAAGTTAGATTATAACTATATACATTTATTTAAGCAACTGTATAATTTAATGTTTTCAATTATTTTTAATTGTACATTTTTAGTGTGTGAGAACATGGTGAATGATATGTTGCTTATTTAGGTAATTAACTTTTTGCTCATTATTTGTGTCAAGCTGCATTAGGATGGTAACTGGAATTTAATTAAACACAAAATAGCATACACAACTTACTAAACAAAACAACCTTAAATGTTTTGGATACATAAACTTCTCTTATGAAAATAAGTTTAATATTTTACAATTAAATGATTCATTAAAGGAATAGAGCAATTAACTGTAGTCAGTGAACTAAACTCATTATTTCAGGTCAGCCTGGGAAAATTTTCAAATATGCCTAAGTGAAAGTGACTGACTGGAGCTTAAGTTCCTACTCGCCTAAGTCTCTTGAAAATGAGACAGCAGCCTCCTAAGTAACTTAGTTGTCCTTCAGACTTTTAAAATTAATAAATCTTATCCCCTCCTTCCTCATTTTTATTCATAGGTTGAGAGACAAGTTTTCATGCTTTTTCAACTCCCAGTAGATTTCTCAACATTGACTGAATTAGTCCAAATGAAAAAGAGTCTTTCTATACCTATTTCTGTCAAAAGCTGGTTTAGTATTTCAGCAAACTTTGGTTCCAGGTACTTAGTGACTTCCACCAGTTCAGTGGTGTGACTTTTTTAAAAATGTCATCAGCAAACATGTCTGCTTGAATGGTTTACCTCCAGCCCTGAAATTTATCATAGTTGGCATGATTGATGGATGATTATTAGATACCCATGCCATAGCAGCATCTCCTTCAGGAGTTAGGCACCTACTCTAGGACTTTGGGTTGAAAATATTGGCAAGAAAATGAGGTGGAGTAAATCTGTTTCTTCACTACCTGCAATTTAACTTTGTCGTTGGGTAAATCTTTCTGCAATATCTTTTGAAGTTCTTTCCGAATTTCAACAGCATCAGTAGCAATCTTTCTGCCGATTGTCCGAGGCAATGGAAATAGGTTTAGTATATTCAGCATATTGTCCACATTTTGCTTTTAGTCTGAAGTTGACTGCTTTCATTGTGATAGTTCCATCTATTTTGTCATGAATTCCTTCACAATTTATCAGAATAGTCTAGTTCTTAATAAAAAGCTCAAAAGAGTCAACCACTGAATTCCATCATACATCTTGGGGGAGAATTAGTTTGGATTATTCAGCTCTATTCAGTAAAGCTGAAGCAAAGTGTGTTGTTATGGAAGAATCTTGTAGTTTCAACATTTTCCTTTATTCCTGGAGTTGTACTTAAGTCTTTGGCTAAAAGATACATTAAATGAGCACAGCTCCCATATATATATTTTAGGTTTCCTTCATTACCATCTTCTAGATTTCTTCTCATCTTTGCTATATTTGAAGCATTATCTTTGACAAAGCTACTAGGGTGACCAGACAGCAAGTGTGAAAAATCGGGACAGAGGGTGGGGGGTAATAGGAGCCTATATAAGAAAAAGCCCCAAATATCAGGACTGTCCCTATAAAATCGGGACATCTGGTCACCCTAAAAGCTACGCTCTTGACACTTTAATTTGTGGTCAGTTTGTTGTAGCTTTTACAGTTCTTTCTTTTAAGTAGTCTGCTGTATGGGCATTTCCTGATGTATCAATTGTTTCTGTAAAATAGACAATGCCATCTTCCTTTGTCACACAAGCACATATTACTGTACAATTGTGTATATTGCTCCATCCATCAAGACTCAGATAAAGAAATTTCCCATCAATGTTTTCTGCACACTGATCAATTTCCTTCTCATACTCTATATCCAGCAACATCCCAACAATATCTGTCCTGCTAGGTGGAGTGTAGTCTGGTCATAATGACTGAACCATGTCAGTGAAATGCTTGTTCTGAACAAGATGAAGGGAGAATTTGTTGCATAAATGAATTGAACAATCTAGAGCCTTTCTGGAATTTGCTGGTGCTGAATATGATGGTTGATGATAATGAAGAAAATCTTTCTTTTATTAACAGGTCATTTACTGTTTGACATCTTTAGTTGCAGCACTGCTGGCGGTACCAGGAGATATTGCAGATGATAGATGTTTACATATATGAACATCCATCTTTATAAATAAACTTTACTTTTAAACGGGAAATCTTCACCTAGAATGTCTGATTACACTGAGCAATAAAAAAATCATTCCAAAAGTCCAGCAGTAATAGTAAAAATTTAATTGATAAATACTCTCATAACAAACTAATAAACCAATTACATTTTGAATAGACACTTTGAAATTTGTAACTAAGTAATTCACCCAAAACATAAATTTATGACAATCTAAGTTGTCATTTACTAGCATATTAAGACATTGTAGGGAGTCCATAAGAATGGTACCAAAATAAGTTGACTAACCAGTTGATACATATTGCTCAGACATGTCCACATCGTCATCCTCAAAGTCATTGCCTTCTGAGGAGCGTTTTTCATAGTGTTTCATTCTGTTAACCAGGCCTTGCATCTCTTTGTTGCACTGTTTACATTTGGCACATGTTCCTTTTTTATCCAGCCCAGAGGTTCCTGAATTTCTTGAAAATATTCCCAAATAGTCCTTTTTTTTACAATATGCAGCCATGACAGTTTTTTCCTCCAGTTCCCAGGTGTGTAAATACTAAAGGCTGCAATTCAAAGAATATTGTCTCCTCTTCTCACAGTGTCCTGCTTTTACACTAGTGTTGCTCCTTTCTGGTTACACACCCTGCTCCTTCTCCTTTGTTAAATAACTACCTAAACCCTCAGAAAAACAAAAGAACTAACTATAGTCCAAGATTTCTGCTTATGTAACCTGCATGCCTTTTGCATTGCAGTATTTTGTTTGTTTAGAGACCGAGGGGGATTTCTGTTTGTGTACACATGCAAGGAACCGGGGAAGGCCATTTGCTTGAAGTGCTCAGAAGCAAGGTCAGGTAGTTACTAGGCAGATCAGTGTTTTTCCGTGAGCTGGAGAGTGAGTTTCCATGGTGGGTGCAGTCATAAATATTAATAATTTGAGAACTGAGCCAATCAGAATTCTGGTAGGGAGAAACTATAAAATAGGAGTATGAGACTAGCTAGGTGGGCTCAGTGGATGATCCTGATGAGAGACATGATGATGATTCCTGGAATCAGAGGTTGGGTCCCAGCACTTGTGATGACTTTGCCAGTCTCTTGCACCCATTAGCACAGCCCCTGGGCCCCCCACAGGATCAAGCTCTTAAGGTAGTACATTACTTACTGTGCCATATTTATAAAGCTTGGCCTCAAAAGTTAGTTTTTCCCTGCTGCTTTCTGTGTATAGAAAAGCCAGTGTTATTGATAGAGGCTCATGGATTCAACTTACTTACTTTTAATGCTTAAGAGATTATAAGTAGTTTAGGTCTTAAGTAGGGCTGTCGATTTAATCGCAGTTAACTCGCAATTAACTCAAAAAAATTAATCGCAGTTTTAATTGCACTGTTAAACAATAGACTACCAATTGAAATTTAGTAAATATTTTCGGATGTTTTTCTACATTTTCAAATATATTAATTTCAGTTACAACTCAGAATACAAAGTGTTGTATTATATTATTACAAATATTTGTACTGTAAAAATGATAAAAGAAATAGTATTTTTCAATTTACCCCGTACAAATACTGTAATAAAATCTTTTTATTGTGAAAGTGCAACTTACAAATGTAGATTTTTATTTTGTTACATAACTGCACTTAAAAACAAAACAATGAAAGTTTTAGAGCCTACAAGTCTACTCAGTCCTACTTCTTATTCAGCTAATCGCTAAGACTAACAAGTTTGTTTACATTTACGGGAGATAAAGCTGCCGGCTTATTTAAAACGTCACCTGAAATTGAGACAGGCATTCGCATGGCACTTTTGTAGTCGGCATTGCAAGGTATTTACGTGCCAGGTATGCTAAACATTCATATGCCCCTTCATGTTTCGGCCACCATTCCAGAGGACATGCTTCCATGCTGATGACGCTCATTTAAAAAAAAAATGCATTAATTACGTTTTGACTGAACTCATTGGGGGAGAGTAGTATGTCTCCTGCTTTGTTTTACCTGCATTCTGCCATGTATTTCATGTTATAGCTGTCTTGGATGATGACCCAGCACATGTTGTTCGTTTTAAGAACACTTCCACTGCAGATTTGTCAAAACGCGAAGAAGGTACCAATGTGAGATTTCTAAAGATAGCTACAGCACTCGACCCAAGGTTTAAGAATCTGAAGTGCTTTCCAAAATCTGAGAGGGATGAGGTGTGGAGCATGCTTTCAGAAGTCTTAAAAGAGCAACACTCTGATGCAGAAGCTACAGAACCCGAACCACCAAAAAAGAATATTAACCTTCTGCTGATGGCATCTGACTCAGATGATGAAAGTGAATATGCATCAGTCTGCACTGCTTTGGATCGTTAGTGAGCAGAACCCATCATCAACATGGAAGCATGTCCTCTGGAATGGTGGTTGAAGCATGAAGGGACATATGAATCTTCAGCACATCTGGCATGTAAATATCTTGCGACGTGAGCTACAACAGTGTCATGCGAATGCCTGTTCTTGCTTTCAGGTGACACTGTAAACAAGAAGCAGGCAGCATTATCTCCTGTAAATGTAAACAAACTTGTTTGTCTGAGTGAATGGCTGAGCAAGAAGTAGGACTGACTGGACTTGTAGGCTCTAAAGTTTTTTACATTGTTTTGTTTTTGAATGCAGTTATTTTTTTGTACATAATTCTACATTTGTAAGTTAAATTTTCATGATAGAGATTGCATTACGGTACTTGTATGAGGTTAAATGAAAAATACTATTTCTTTTGTTTTTTACAGCACAAATATTTGTAATCAAAGTAAATATAAAGTGAGTGGTGTACACTTTGTATTATGTGTTGTAATTGAAATCAATATATTCGAAAATGTAGAAAACACCCAAAAATATTTAAATAAATCATATACTATTATAGTTTAACAGTAATTAACAGATTGATTATTTTTTTTTGAACGCTTGACAGCCCTAGTCTTAACATATTTTTTTTTAATTCAGCTTTAATCTTAAACAGGTTTATTTTTTAAAAGAAATTATTATAATTAACAATCAAAATCCAGGTTAAATAAAAAATCTGATTTATTTTAAATTATTCTAACTTTTTTCTTTCTTTATTTTTCTTTAATCCACCCTGCTTTCTGGAAAGGCTTTTGGGTAGCTGTTCAGTTTTTATGTTGAAGTTGTAGACGAGACCACATTTAAACAGAAACGATGTGGATAGGAGTATGTTCAGTGTATTGTGTCTCCGTTGAAACTTTAAAATTATGTAGTTGAACGTTATGTAGAAAATGTTATGACTCCAGTTCTTCTGCATAGTATTAAAGTAATTGTTTTTGGCTATAAGTATTTCTATCTTATAGAGTTCTGAATTCTGTCTTTATTAACACGTTGACAGTAAAAGTTTCTTTTTTTTTTTTAAATGATCAGATAGAAAATTGCTTCTGTCTTTAAAAACTAACCTGGTTCTGCCAGGAGTCGCTTAATGCCCCGGTGCACCAAGTTAGAATTGAAAATAATCTGACTTTTCGATGTTCAAACTAAATAGAAAGGTGAGGGTGTTTTGGGGGGGTAGGGTGGTTGTATTTTGTATGGTGCACTCACATGCCTTATTTTTATGGTGCTGGCACAGGGAGGGAGCCGGTCTCTTGATTGTTTCTGCTGGAAGTGAGAGAGGCTCTTGACTTTCCATCCCTTCCTGCCCTGCCATATCATGCCAACACTTTTTTTTCTTTATAATTCAAAAAATGTTATTACTTGCATTGAAGTTGTGTCCCATTGTGCCAACTGTTTTACAAAGACTTGGTCTTTTCCAAAGAGCTTATAGTTTAAGAAAGCAAGAGAGCTGGAGAGATGGCAGGAGAGGGATACAACTTGATATATTCAATTGTTGTATAAATTTGCAAATTTAAAATGTTATCCTCATCTGTTCATGAAATAACAAGCCCTTAGAAAGTAATTTTTTGGTTTTCAGTTTTCTATGTGCGTAGCGTTTACCAGTGCTTAAAACAAATGGCACTTCTGTCACAACCCAGTGCACACTGGGAAACTGCCAATTCCAGGAGAGCTGCATCGATGAAATGGAAAAAGAAGGGAGGAGGGAAATGCCTGGGCTGATAGTGTGGGATTTTAGTTTTAGTCATATGGGAAAAACTGATGTCCTTTTGTGCTGCTTCGTATCTTCACACCCTGTCAGCTTTACATAATTCACCGAGGGGGCAGCATAGATGTGACACCTAGAGCAGACACGGGCAGTACTATTAAATGCTGGAGTAAGCTGCTATTAGTAAATCATGTAAAGATAACTGTCTGCAGATACTTCAGGTCCAAATTATGGCAAATTACAGTATTCAAGAGCCTTGCAAAATAAAGTCATACTGGTAACTCTGCCTAGTTGTTTGTGGCTAGTAATGTAATCCTTGGTTGTGTTGTGTTGTGTCTACTGACTGTGTCATACTCGAAAATAATAGATGCTCCATTTTTAGGTATGAATTACTATAGAACAGGTAAATATCAGACTAAATATTATACTAATTATTTTAGACTCAGATATATTTACCTGTTCCGTAATATGTATTAAAGATACAAAAGTGCTGTAATTTTCAGAGATGTGGCTTGCTTTCTGTTTTAGGAAAATGCCCCCTAAGATTCTCTATATGACTGTATACCCTCTTTGTTGTCTGCTTTTGCATTTGAAACACTAATATAGGAGAATACTAGTGCTGTTCAGGGATGCTGAATAACAAATCTAATCAACAATCTATTTTGTTTCTCATAGGTTGCAAGTCCGGTAGATGACATCTATGTAACTGATGTAAAACCAAAGGATGAAACTCCAATTACTGCAGGAACTGAGAAATTCCATTGTTCCTTACATGTTGCTCCAGATGATGACCAGTTGCCCACTACAGGGAAAACTGAGATGTTGCATAGTCCTGACTCTGTAATTCCAGCTGCTGATGAATTACCTTTTATTACAAAAGTTGAGAAGTCTCCTAGTCTTGCCACAGTTAACCAAACTAATGATGATTCACCTGTTAGTCCTTCAGACTACAGAATGCTATGTGGTATTGGAAACTGTGTTAGCAAAGAGTTCAGCCTTATTCCTGATGATGATGGACTGCCACCACTCTTACTTGCAACTGGAGAAAAAGGAAAAGGTAAAATTTGGACTGGGGAATACTAGTGTTTACTGGATGCAAGCTTTCTAAAAATATATGGACTTTCATGTATACACTGTGACATTCCAGAAGCCAAATTAACATTGTTTTAAAATGCACATTATTTTGCGGTATTTTGGATCCAGCTTGGTAGCTGAACTTGCACTTATATGAACTTGTATATTATGAAAAAAAAACATGAGCATAACCACAACAGTATCAATTAGTATTTGAGCCCAAGTATGTTTGCATATGAAGCATAATACTGGTGCACAAGTTGCAGACCACATATGGTGTTGAGGAGTTTATTAGTACTATTTAGCAAGAACTCTTCCACTCTCAGTTCAACTCCAGTCTCATTATTCAGGTTCCTTTATTTGGTACACAGCAAAGTTACCCTGATATGATGGGACTCAAGCATAGGGAGTGGGTATAGGGCATACCATACATCCAAAGTTACACAGCAAACCTCTTCATATATATAATTATATTTACTATACATTGCATTACATATTTTGTGATTGGCTTGGTCACTTTGTAGGAGCCAATCCCTGTACAGCATGCACGACTTACTCTTTATCTCATTTTATGTTCCAGGCTTATCTTATCCATTATTATCTTGTCCATAAATGGTTCCCGGGATGTTGCCCCTTATCTTAACTAGTACAGACATTCTGTTTCCAGTCTGCTGATCCATTTACCTTTCTAATCCTGTCTCCCAAGAAATGAGGCCTCACCCATGTTCAACCACTCATGTCAAGCCAGGCCTATGTCTAGCAAGCTAATTGTGGCCCTGAAGCTCCTGGCAAGATACCAATATGTTCCTGGGTGCTGTATATTATGCATGACTTGACAACATACTACTGTCTTATTTTGTTTGTGATATGGTCTAGTAATCTTTAAACAAGTGATGTTGCTATTCATTGGCTGCTATATGTCTGCCTTAGGTTCAAGAGAATGTGTTTTTAGCAGTTTCCTTAAGTAGAAAGATGGAAGTTTCAAGTACCATATTTCATACATTGTAGTTTGTAATGTCTTTTATAGATAGAGAGGAAATGGATATTGGCTGGTGTATGGGATTAATCCAGACCTTATCTTATTTAGATCCTCTGGTGGAAGAACACCCATCTCATCAGCAGGTCACCTTGCTTCTTGCAGAAGGAGGACCTAATCCATTAACATTTATCCTAAATGCAAACCTCCTTGTGAATGTCAAGTTAGTATCTTGTAAGTAGGTAATGTACATTGTTTCCTTTTATTTACATATGTTCCATGGTTCATTATGTTTGAAATGTGTAAACACTAAATTCACCGATCTTCATGATTGAGCAGATAAAATTCAAACATTTTCACAATTGTGAGATATATGCTGTCTTATTTTATCCAACTTGTAAATTTAAGGTTTTTAAAGTAATTTTTTCAGTGTGCTTCAAAGCAACTTTTAACCCCTTTTGTAATTTATTTATGTGCCTACTTGGTCGTTGTATCCTTTGTAGGACAAATGCAGGGCTGTATTCACCGTAACAATATCTTTCATTGGGAAGGAATAAGAATGCTCTTATAAGAATGTTTTCCCCAGAAATGTGTGCTGCATTTTTGATGCATACTGTACACAGATTTCAAACTTATTTGTGTAAGATGCTGTCTAATTGGGATTTTTTTATCTGTAGGTTTGAATAAAGCTCTGGAGACCCTGCTGTGTAAATAATGAAAGGATACTTCTGTTCATTTTACAGCAACTTAAGATATCTGTTTAAAAGATTTGGGAGTTGTGATGGATAGTCAACTGAACATGAGCGTCTAGTGTGGTGCTGTGGCCAAAAGAGCTAATGTGAACCTGGGCCTCTTGAGTAGGAGTGGAGAGGTTATTTTACATCTGTATTTGGACCTGGTGTAGCTGTTGCTGGAATGCTGCTGAGTTCCAATGTCCACAATTCAAGAACGATGATAACTTGGAGAGGGATCAGAGAAAAGCCACAAGAATGATTAAGGGATTAGAAAGCATGCCTTATAGTGACTCTCAAGGAGCTCAATTTATTTAGCTTAACATAGGGTACGTCTACACTTACTGGACGGTCCGGCGGCAGGCAATCGATGTTCTGGGATCGATTTATCGCGTCTGGTTTAGACGCGGTAAATCGATCCCGGATCGATCCCGGAAGTGCTCGCCGTCGACGCTGGTACTCCAGCTCGGCGAGAGGAGTATGCGGCATCGACGGGGGAGCCTCCCTGCCGCGTCTGGACCTGCGGTAAGTTTGGACTAAGGTACTTCGAATTCAGCTACGTTATTAACGTAGCTGAATTTGCATACCTTAGTCCGAAGTGGGGGGTTAGTGGGGACCAGACCAAAGAGAAAGTTCAGGGTGACTTAAAATACAGTCTGTAAATACCTAAGTACAGAACAAATTTTTAATAATATGGGCTTTCCAATCTAGCATAAGAAGATATAACTTGATCCAACGACTGGAAGTTGAAGCTAGACAAATTCAGACTGGAAGTAAGGCAAATTTTTAACAGTAAGGGTAATAAACCATTGGAACAACTTACCAAGGGTTGTGGTGGATTCTCTATCACTTACAATTTTTAAATTGGATGTTTTTCTGAGAGAGATGTTCTAGGAATTATTTTGGAGAAGTTCTATGGCCTGTGTTACACAGGAGGTCAGACTAAATTATCACAATGGTCCCTTCTGGTCTTTTTATTTAAAATGACTGAGTTTTTGATGCCTTTTCATTAGTCACTTAAACAGAAATAAGTGTGGCACCTGCGTGTGCTGCAAACATGCAACATACTTATTTATGCAAGAGGATATGATAAATGAAGACGTATTACTTGTTTCGCTCAAAGATACAAGCCTCTGCCTTGGGTTCCATAGTGAAGTTTGCCTTTGCAATTAAAACTTTCTTTAATCAGCACCTTGATTCAGTGAGGAAGGAAGCGTGTACGGTTCCTTCAGAACCTGTATCCTATCAGATTTTTTTGATGCCTATTATTGAAACATCTTCTCCAGTGTTTTTTATTCATGGTGTTACCCCCTGGGTCTCTAGACAATATGGCCTGAGAAGTGTCCCTGTGAGAGTTACTCTCTCTCCTGTGCAGTGCATTATCCAGTGCTTTCTGAAATTTCAGTTTACAATTTTTTTTTAAGACCGCAATATTGCAGTGGTAGGATTAAAGGGACAGAGGACCACAGATGATTATTTCTAATATATTTGATTCCAAGACTGAGTATCATATATGTGAATTTAAAAAAAATATTTTTTCTTATCACTAAGATTCTTCAGAAAAGTGCTGGTACTTCTCAACAAATGGATTACATAGCTTGGGTCAGGCAGAAATTATCATTATGTTGGTATGTTTGCCAAATGAAGATGCTGTTCCTAAAGAAATCTTCACATTGTTTGTTGACATATATAAGGATGCAGTGAAAGGTATGGAGTTTTAATTTGTAGCTTTAAGATTAGTGTCTTATTGCTGACTTTTAACACAAAGCAGGAAATAAATGGTGTTGCATTCTTAGAGGGTTCCTACTAATTTTGTTTGAAAGTTCTCCGTGCTCATAACTATTTCCTCAGATTCTGTCAAAGTGATACAGGGGATTTAATTTAGGAATGTTTCCTTTTTTTCGTATTAGTTCTCCTGTAAACTGCTTCATTGCATTTTTGTCTTCTCTTCTTTTTTTAATCTAATACTTTGGTATGATGGGTCGTAGGTGTAAATCCTTTGTGCTCTGGTTCTGGAAGACAAGTGCTATCCTGAATAGAGTTAAGCACATGCTTAAATGTTTTCTTGAATTAGAGCTTAATTTGCAAAAGTTAACTAATTGTATGTACATAGACTTGCCCAACAGAATTTTTTTGAAGTGTTAATTGTTTTGTAAATTAGTTTTATTAAAAAGATCTGTCTGAGTTGAAAAAGGGGTTTTGAAACTGGGTTCTATTGACTTATAAAGTGATTAGAATAAAATGCAATACCATGTCAATAGTACCAAAAGTGCTAAAAATATTGTCTCGAACATTTGGCTTCTAAAAACGGCAATTTTTTAACGTGCAAGTACTTCAGTAATGCATTGTACAAAACTATAAAGGACTTCAATAAAGATGGGGGGGGGGGCAGAGGTCTGTATCCTGTTATCCTGAAAAGCTGCAATATGCACCCTGTTACTTCAAAAATGCACAAGAGAGACAGTGTTCACATAGTAATGGGTGGATTTCTTCCAGGTACCAACATGTATAAGAATGCATACTTAACATGTTTGTTTTTTACGGTGAAGATTTTAACTGTATCTCTCTTTCACCAGGAAAATACATAGGAAACTTGGAAAATTTTACCTTCACTGAAAGCTTTCTTGGTAGCAAGGATCATGGAGGATTCCTGTTTGTTGCACCAACTTTTCAGAAACTTGATAATCTCCTGTTACCAAATAATCCTTTCCTTTGTGGCATTCTCATTCAGAAACTGGAAATACCGTGGGCAAAGGTTTTTCCAATTCGCTTAATGTTGAGATTGGGAGCAGAATACGGAGGTGAGTTTTAACACTAAATATGCATGTTAAGGCCCAATCCTGTAAAGACTTATGCACGTGTTTAACTTTATGCACTGTGAATGCCATTGCCTTCAAAAATTAAATACAAATGTGTTTCTTCAAAGGTTTGGGACTTAAATTTGTACTTTTGTACATTCACCCCAGTTTACAGGCTGGCTGTTGCCACTGCAATGCAACCCTTCCTGCTTTTAGGGGCTGCTGTTCTTTCACATTTGCTATACAGGCATCTTGTGCTGCTGAATCAAAGTAAGCACAGATATTGTCTGTTTTCTGATACCATTTCCCTGCAATGAGTGCTAAAGTCTATCGTTTTACATAAGGTAAAGAATGAAAGGCTGCATCTGACCTTATTATTTTTTTTTAAAGTTACATATTTTAATTGGGTTAGAGTATTTTGCTTGGTCTTTATGTGTAACAGTGTTCTTTTCTTCCTGTGAAAGCATACCCAACTCCTGTAACAAGTATCAGACACCGAAAGCCTCTCTTTGGGGAGATAGGACATACAATCATGAACTTACTTGTTGTGAGTAAACAGTGTTTTACATAATTTTCCTTACCCTCCTAATTATACATCAGATGAGTGTGAAGTTACCCTCACAATTTTGAAGTTGAACTATTTGTCTTTTAGCGAAAAATGTTCTAACACGGTTTAATTTAGGTGTGATGTACAAGTTAGACTTCAGTCTGTTCACACAATGAAATGCTCTGTTAGAATAGTATTAAGTTGTGCCTTTCAGATTAATTATTGATATTGAAATATACTAATATAATTTTGGTTTATTCATTTAACATAAGTAGTTAATATTAATCAGCTCTTTCAGTAAGAAAGCTTTAGGCAATGATCTGGTGACTAGCTCTCCTGACATCTAGGAGACTTGGGTTTGAGAGTGATAAACTTTTGCTCTTCAGGCGGTTGCAGCAGTAATGTGACATGATCCAAATTTAAAAGCATGCTGCCTTGATATATGATTTATTGCAAACAGCTCACCTACACACTTTTTTAGAGAAATGTAAACAAGCTGGAGACTACAAACTACTTCATTTAAGAGTATGAGCATTCTCTAGTAAGGCCGTACTTGGACTTGATCATAATTAAATCTTTTGTCCTCTGTGACAACACATAACACTGGACTTTTTATCCATTATGAACTTTTACCCGTTTTATCCAAACTAGATCTTGAAGGGTTAAAACTATTTAGAGTGCATGCCCAGAAGGGACAACAACTTTTTCAGTTGAATGGTGATAACTATTGCTGGCAAGATTTTTGAATAGACGGTAATCTCTGTAGTTCAGGTTGATGCTGGCTTGACACTCTTTAACATAACCAAATTGGTTATATTTGAAACATGTTAAATGTCAGTTTCTTGGCCCAGGGTAGAAGTTTTCTGGAAAGCTGAAATAAGAACAAGTGTTTTGGGCAAAGTTCCCTTTTTAGAAACCTTTGCTACCCTTTTTTGGTTTGTTATAAATACTAGCTTTGTTTTAATCTGTTCGTTTTGACAAGATCTGGAGCCACCGACTAGTATGTTGAGATGATTAGATTACTTACTTTCTGTTACACTGCTCAATTAAACCATAGTTTGTATCCGGCAAGTCACTTAGCATGTTTCCCTCTCTGTAAAATGGGAGGCAAGTATTCTTCTTATTTCCAAGAGTGCCCCGAGGACAAAAAAATGTGATGAGAATTACAAAGTATATATTTAAACAACTTTACTGTAAAACTCAACATTATGTAAAGATGGCAGTATCCTTCGTTAAGGTGATCACTAGCTTTCTGTTTAAAGAAATCCATTTGACATGCACATCCTTAATATTGCTAAAATGATACAGTCCAGCTGAAGCTTATGGTATATTAGATGGCTATTTGTGATTGTTGCCTTGTGGTAACTGGCCTGCAGAGCTTGTGTTTACTAGGGAAAAGGGTTTTTACAATGTGTTCGCTGATACATGGTAAAATCCTACTGTGGACAAGGCAGTTGTAGTTTTAACATGTGTTAACAGATGAAGGTAAACACTAGTAAATGCTAAATAAAACTGTAACTGCATTGACCACAATAGGAATTTACCATGTGAGTGACCATATGTTAACTAACATGGTTAAAAAAATCACTTCGTTTTTCCTAGTATGGGCACACTCACCAGTAACAGTACTGTTGCAGCTAACTGAGATTCCTTTAGCTCAAATAAACTTCTGAAGACTTATGCAAATATCTGTTATGGGTAGATTTTAAGTGATGCAGTGTGTTTTAGTTTTTAGAAATTATGATATGTCAGTGGTTAAAACTTTATGCTGCATAAACAGTCAGTTAATAAAGTATTTTGTTTGTTACAGGATCTTAGAAATTATCAATATACCTTGCATACCATAGATAATTTATTTATCCATATGGAAATGGGTAAAAGCTGCATTAAAATCCCTCTGAGGAGATACGATGAAGTGAGTATAATTTTGTAGATCATACAATTTATTCAGGAAATCTAACCCTTCCATTTTCCTCTTATAATACCTCTGAAATCTTTAAAGATGAGAAGTTGACAAGAACACCAATTTGACTAGAAGCTGCAAAATGCAAAACACTTCATTGGAGGGTATTGTCTTCTCCAAATCAGAGAGGCCTATGTTTGCTTCTGTTCACTGTTCAGTGGACTAATTTTTCAATTCTTAAACTTGTGTCTAACCAAAAAAAACCCCAAGCACCTTTTCCCTATGGACTAACTCCCTGCTTTAGTGCTAATAGGTGAGCAATATTGCCTAGGCCCTGCTGGGATGTTAAGCAGGAAGGTTGGTGATTAGTATAGGTGCTAATTGGTAATAGAAATGAGGAGGAAAAAGATTTCACTGAAATTTCCTCCAAGGATGTTTAGGCCTTAAGCTTCTTCTACTGTGAAGTTTTGTTGTAGTTTAAAAGGTGGCTTTACAAAAGCCTAATTTATTTATTTTATATATATATAAGTTATTTCAAATAGTTTTTTGCAAATTTCAGTCTTCTCAAAATTCGTACTGTTTTTGCACATTTACTGTAGATCTGCTTGGAACTTTGATAGAAACAAATAATAAACTCTTGTTCTGTTTTTAGGGACCCTATTAGGCTATGAAGCTTTAGGATTCTTCCAGATTTTGCAAACTGTGTTGTCCTATACATAAAAAATGAAAGTCTCTTGGGAGATCCTTAATATTTGGTAGTATACTTGGTTAGGGAGTACTCACTCAGATTGACTTTTCCCAAGTAGTAGAACTTTGAAGTTATGGTCACCAGTAAACCCTCAATTTACCCCGATAAGCTATTGCAAGTTCCATAAAAAGTCAGTTCTAAAAAAAGATTTTAAAGTTTAAATTATACTTCAGCTTTTTATAGAGAAAGCTAATGCTTACATATAGAGGCAGTTATTTTCTTAGTAGCATTTTTCAGGTAAAATGCTGTATTTAGCTGTTACACAACCAGAGTCCACAGAGAATTTAACAAAACAGAGCAAGATTTTGTTGCAGAAATGTTAGTTTCTAAATGAACATTTTGTATTTGCAGGTAATGAAAGTAATACATTCTTCTAATGAGCATGTTATTAGCATTGGAGCCAGTTTTAGCACTGAAGCAGATTCTCACTTAGTTTGTGTACAGAGTGATGGAGTCTATCAGACACAAGCAAACAGTGCTACTGGCCACCCTAGGAGAGGTAAGTGGCTTTTTATGTTTTTAGTTTTCTATCAAACCTCTGAAACTGGTATGTGCACTCGAATGTTTTAGGGGATTACTAGGAACAAAAGGTGTGTATTCCTGTAGTTTGTGTGAGCAGATGCTTCTGTATAATTCCAAATGCTTTGACCACAATACGAAGCAGCTAAACAATAATAAAAGCGTACATGACATATATGTATGACATACAGTGGTTAGCAAAAATACTTTAATTACATAAAGCATTGTTTGACAACCTCCACTTAACATTCCATTTACACTAAATTATTCAAATTTCACTCTATCTTTTGACCTGTTACTTGTCCCTTTTCAGAAGCTTTTTGTATTTCATGACCACATCATACAGTTCTTAGATTAATTCAGCTTACATTTTAAAGGGGTGCTGTTGAATAGCTTCTGGTCCATTACTTTGACACTCTTAAAATTGCTATAAATTGCAGAATATCTTTCAGATTCTAGGTGGCTACATACCTTTTACATCTGTCTAGTTACATCCTAGGCCAGAGACTAATAAGAGTAATTAACAGTAGTTAAATTCTTGTTTGTATAGTGCTTTGAAAACATTAATCAATGCCTAGCAAGCTCACACAAGTAGTCTGTAGTGACAAGGGGAAGATTTAATGGTGAAGTAAATGGGTTTTTACAGGTTTTAGTGCCATTTAAAGTGGATTCATTATTTTACTTAATAGAATGTTCCAGAAATTAAAACCTAATTTTAGAGGTAACTTCATGTATAAGCAAGAAACAAATTTTAGGTCCTACATATTTTCTATTCTTTCACAGTTTTCTTCTTTGGCTACTGTGCCTATATGACTGCCAGCATCTTGTTGGGATGCTGCATGTCTTCCTAAAACTCGAAAAGTTAGCAAAATCAATGTATTTTTCTGGGCCTGATTTCAAGGAGTGAATTCTTTTGATGCTAGCAGGAGCCACATCAGCACATCTTCCTATAACTAAAGAACTTTTATGTGCACTTACAGTGTAGCATAATATTTAGCACTTGATGTATAGTGCTTTACACTTTCAAAATGACTGTTAACTCACTAAGTATAAAAATGGACAATATGAAGTACCTGATGTGTTTACTTTTGTGTTTAGTTACAGGTGCAAGTTTTGTAGTATTCAATGGAGCCCTAAAAACATCTTCAGGATTTCTTGCTAAATCAAGTATAGTTGAAGGTATGAATTGCATCATAAATGATTCCTTATTAAGAGGCAAAGAATTGGTGTTGGAACACTACTCTGCATAATACTGATGTGATTAAGAGTCTGTTCCATTGTAAACTAAACTTTTTCTTTAAGGTTTGTAACGTAAAAAAAATACTTGTGCATAAATCATGATATGTAAATTCGTAGTTTAGGACATACTTTGTTTGGACACTTTTACTATGTGGCTTTTTTGGACCTCTTGACTTAATACCTGTCATTTTGTAAAAAATTTCAACATGAGAAGCTTATTGGAGAATTTAATTCAGTTGTTTCCTGTATGCTTAAGTTTTTACCTCTACTTTTGTGTCACATTTTGTAGCTCACTAAGTTGTTCAAACTTCATGAAATAAACTTTGACCGGATGGAACGTCCGCTCCATTAGTCTACCTTTTTGTTCACCAAAAAAGCTTTGAAAATTGAATTAACAATTTTTCATATAGCATTTCACATTGTGATGAGGAAAAAAGTCAATATTCTACTCACAGGCTTGTGAAATTGCATTTCTTAAACAATTCAAGAAGATCAATTGACTAGGAAAGGTTCTATTAAAGTACTCTTCCCTTTTTGTTCTGTAAAGGAAAGTGGGAACTTTTACTGTTTCTCTTTTAGATGGACTAATGGTACAAATAACTCCAGAGACAATGGAAGGTCTACGTCAAGCTTTAAGGGACAAAAAGGACTTTAAAATTACATGTGGCAAAATGGATGCAGAAGAAATAAAAGAATATGTAGATATTTGCTGGGTAGAGAGTGAAGAAAAACTAAACCAAGGGTATGAATATTTGTTACTAAAGCTGTGTGTATGGTGGTTGGAATTTTCTCTTCTCTTCCCACCTCTCTTGAAATGAAAGATGGATATTTAAAGAATGGAAAATAAAGTATTGTAATTAAAACTAATATCTTGCTATTTAAAGCTGCCAAGGAAATAGGAGTGAAAACTGCCTGTGCACCTCTAGATATCACTATGAGAACAACTTTAGACTATAATGGCCTTTTGAGATTTTAATTATCAGGGGGGTAGCCGTGTTAGTCTGGATCTGTAAAAAGCAACAGAGAGTCCTGTGGCACCTTATAGACTAACAGATGTATTGGAGCATGAGCTTTTGTGGGTGAATACACACTTTGTCAGATGCATCTGACGAAGTGGTTATTCACCCACGAAAGCTGCGTCTGACGAAGTGGGTATTCACCACCCATGAAAGCTTATGCTCCAATACATCTGTTAGTCTATAAGGTGCCACAGGACTCTTTGTTGAGATTTTAATAACTGCCTGGTTTGGGAGTGGTGGGAAGAGGGTCTTCTTATGGTGTTGCCTGTTTTTAGTCACAGTCCATCTGTCTGACGAGGACTGGTTGGCTCCCTTCAGAGTTCAACAATGTCATTCATTAGATAGAGGGGGGCTACTCAGTGAGGGCTGCAAGATTGCCCTCCCCACCCCAGTGGCTGTGACTGTCAGGGCACTATCAGTGCTATAACATATGAATTGGTTTAAGACAATGGTTTTCAACCTCTTTTCATTTGCGGACTTCTACAAATTTTCAAATGGAGGACCCCTTTGGAAATCCTAGACCTGTGGGTCCATGTACCACAGGTTGAAAACCACTGATTAAGAGTTTCATTGTACGTGGCTTAGAGAATGTTTTGTTACAGTTAGGGCCCTACCAATTTCATGGCCGTGAAAAAAGCCCTTCCCCGTGACATCCGATGTCCCGTTGTTCCTAGGAGTGCCTCAGCAAAGGGGGCTCCTAGCTCCAGCTGGGCAGAGGAGGGAGAGCACGTATCCAGAGGGAGAGAGTGTGAGTGTGTGTAATGTTGAATCAGACCCACCTCCACCTCAGGGAACCTCCTGCAGCTGCAGGATGCTCTGTGGTTGCGCCTTCAGAGTCCAGCTCTGAAGACAGCACAGAAGCAATCCCATGATCCCCCTACAACAGGTTTCCGGACTCCCCCATTCCCTTTTTGGGTCGGGACCCCCCTCCCCCCAGTCACAACACTGACATTTCAGATTCAAACATCTGAAAACATTAAATTTACCAATTTTAATGTCTTATGGCTTTGAAATTGACCACAATGGACCGTGAATTTGGTAGGGCCCTAATTATAGAGGGTCTGAATAAATCATGATTACTGTTCAAAATTAGTGTCTCTTGCATTATAATTCAATATCATAAAACAGTAGTTCTCAAATTATGGTCTTGACTTAGTCCTTTTTCTAGTGACTCATAGGACCAACCAGAACACATACACAGTGCCCCAGGGAGGTGGTCCACAAAAGGTACTCTTAGGAAATAGGAGGAAAAGCTGGAGATCTACTGACCTGGTTAATCTTAGTCTATTAGGTACTCGTATGTAAAGTGTGCGTGTTTATCTAGAACTGAGATGGGGTTAAATTTTATATAGAATGGAAATAGCAAATGTTTACAGTCAAAAACACACATACCATAGCCTCTCTTTTTGTATGTATTTTAATACTACAAATTTTATTTATATATTGAGATCATTAGAGAAGAGCTGTAATTTTATTCTTTTGAAGTTTGATTTAACTTAAAGCAATGGGTTTTTAAGTTGAACAGTTGATTTTTAGATGAAAGAATGCTCTGGTTCAGTTTTAATTTATTATACACTTATTCTATAGAGTTATAAGCCCAGTAGATGGAAAGTCAATGGAAGGAATTCAAAGTGAAAGAATACTACAGGGAGATTTTGAAACTGAGGAAAAACTTATGAAGTGTACCGAAGTAAGTAAATTAATACTAGTAAATAGTTTTATATGTTAAAATATCAGATTTATTTATACCAATTGCTGTTCTAAATAGCATTAATAATACTGATAAAGGGAAGGTGCTACCACAGAAACTAGAAACTAGTTTTGGCATGCAGCTGTAGGAACATGCCAACTATGTTCCTGCCGTTCTCTCTGACTTTCATATCAAATGTGTGGATAGAAGCGATTTTATTTTTTAAATAGGGGTGATATACTTTCCTTTTTTTTTTTAACTTTAGATGCAATTATGAAACTTCTAATCCAGTTATTCTCGTGGCTACTTGTTAATTCACTAAGTGTTTTAATTGTGAGGATAATTTCCAACAGTACTAACAGTATTTGCTGTTTGGGGACTTTTTGTCTCTTCCTAGTTTTTGAAAGCACCTAGCACATTTGGGCACTATCATAATATATATAATAAAAATGAACAGTTATATTAGAACTGTCTTGCTACTGATAAACTACCCAATTCCAAAGCTGAAAGTCTTTTGCCAATAAACCAGTGTAGGTAATTTTACTGCATCTTGTGATACTGTACATTGAGCCATTTTGACAACTTTGAAATTCTTACAAAAAAAGCCACTAATCATGTCATGTCCTTACTATACTTTCAGGTGTTCTATATCCTAAAGGACCATGAGCTATCCAGTGCAACACCCTATCAGTTTGCAAAAGAGATTGCTGTAGCTTGCAGTGCTGCTCTTTGCCCGCATCTCAAAACGCTGAAAAATAATGGGATGAATAAGCTAGGTCTCAGAGTCTCCATTGATACCGATATGGTAATTTTTGTTTATTGCAGATATATATAACATTATTTAATATCATCACCTTTAAAATAATGGTATTTAGGTATAGCTTCTCTAGCCCTTTTAAACCTTCCCACAGTGCCAAATGCAAAGTCCATTACCAGCAATGGATGTACCTGGAAAGAAGTCAGAACACAAGTCTGAGAATTAGATTCAATCCCTGTTGCTCCTAGAGAAACTACTCTAGGTCATGTTTCAAGATCTTAGCTGAGAGAGATGCAGTTTATTTACAGCTCACCACAATTTAAAGTTTGATAGTTTTCAATGGTCTGTCATTAAGTAACTAATTCACAATATTTCTGGTTGCTTGCATCCTGAACTAGCAGTACCTTGAAGTGTTGAAGGCAGGTTATTCTATGAGCAGAAGGCGGTGTCTCACGGTTCTAAACACAAAACCTTCTTGCCCGTGAATGTGTTGTCTTGCCCAAAGTCTCTTCATTACCATTTTTTAGAATAATACAAGAACTAGGGGGTCAT